GTTGATGACCAGTCATGTGATGTAAAATTCAAATGTCAGTCATCCACCTTCAGGCAGTTGATGACCAGTCATGTGATGTAAAATTCAAATGTCAGTCATCCACCTTCAGGCAGTTGATGAACCAGTCATGTGATGTAAAATTCAAATGTCAGTCATCTACCTTCAGGCAGTTGATGACCAGTCATGTGATGTAAAATTCAAATGTCAGTCATCCACCATCAGGCAGTTGATGACCAGTCATGTGATGTAAAATTCAAATTATTAATCATCCACCATCAGGCAGTTGATGACCAGTCATGTGATGTAAAATGCAAATGTCAGTCATCCATCTTCAGGCAGTTGATGACCAGTCGTGTGATGTAAAATTCAAATTATTAATCATACATCTTCTACTGTATATAGTGATATCAGACAATTTCATCTCAGTTGTCATTTTGAGTGAAGCACGGGATTTAGAGATCTCCAAAGAAGATATTTGGATGTTTCATTCATGTAGAGAGCCACTGGATAAAAGTGAGACAGCCAATTACAGCATATTGCTGTGAATTGGCTACAGTTGGTTGTAATTGGCTCCAACCAACTTCAGAGTATTGGGTGATAATAACCATCTTTACTTTGATAAACATTCCTTAAAGGAACAGAATTGATCTAATGGAATACTGTTGAGAAACATGTCACATTTTGTTAAGTCACTCCAGACACTAAAAATGCCTTGAAAACCACTTTTAGAGGAGTAGTTGAAGATACCTCATTGACACACTGATTTTAAGCATGCAACACCAGTGCCAGTCTACTGTTGCTGTTATTGGTGACAACACTTCTTATTGAAGTTCACTGTTATAAACATGGAAAGCAACTTCTCCCAAGTATTCATTTATGCTCATTTCGTGTTACATGATGGATCTTCAGATGCCTGATTTGCATAAAAATAACCTGAGAGATTGATCCATGTTAGTGTGTGAAAGAATAACTAACTTGTGCATATTCTATCTACTTTCTCTTAGCCAAAATATGCATAAGTTAGTTTAGTTATTCTCTTAATAACTTATGAAGATGACAACTTGTTCAAACAGGTTACTCAGTGCTCTAAACTTATAAACATGATAGTCACAATTTTCAAACATTACTTTGATCTAGTGAACACTTTAACTTTACCACCATATGGATCATTATAATACTTGATTGTTGGACTCCATATCAAACACAATAATAATAATAGTCACTTCTGACTTGAATTTGAAGTTATAGGCACAAATCTTTTGTTTTTGATATTTTATTTAATAACCCTTACAATACATACTGATACCCGCCTTCTTTTGTAACCTTTAAAACTGCACCATTTATCTTCTTGGTCTCTAAAAGATAGATTACTGCCTCAGCAACGTAAGAAGGTCTAGAAGAAAGATATACAATAAAACAGTTATTAAGGCACATGATTTTATATATAGCATCTATCTGAGTATATACAAAAACAACAAAAGGTTTATGAATAACACATCCACTTTTAAAGTATGCATCTAATAGTCATTTTTGTCAACGTTATATGCTTATTTTAAATGCTTGCTTTCCAAACCCTTATTTCACTCATTTTTTAAGTGTTTTGTACTTGTAGACGATGAACTAAAGCATTTATTTGTTATTAAGTTGGTCATTACATTAGGACATGTTCACTATTCAACAAGTACATATAAACGTTTGTGTTAAGAATGGTTTAATGTTCAGTTGCTGTTCATATAAATGTTTATGTATGTCTAGAATAATTTAATGTTTAATTTAAAAATTGTTTGTATTTAATTATACATGTGTGGGTGTGTTAACTCTAGGTCATGTTGCAGAACAGCTACTTTTGATAGATTAATTCAACTACTTTCTTTCACATCATGTTTACATGAGCTGTAGGAGGACCAGATACTTTCTTACACATTATATTTACATAAGCTATAGGAGGACCAGTTACTTTCTTTCACATCATGTTTACATGAGCTATAGGAGGACCAGTTACTTTCTTTAACATCATGTTTACATGAGCTATAGGAGGACCAGTTCTTACACATCATGTTTATATGAGCTATAGGAGAACCAGTTACGTTCTTTCACATCATGTTTACATGAGCTATAGGAGAACCAGTTACGTTCTTACACATCATGTTTACATAAGCTATAGGAGGACCAGTTACTTTCTTACACATCATGTTTACATAAGCTATAGGAGGACCAGTTACTTTCTTACACATCATGTTTACATAAGCTATAGGAGGACCAGTTACTTTATTTCACATCATGTTTACATAAGCTATAGGAGGACCAGTTCTTTCTTACACATCATGTTTACATAAGCTATAGGAGGACCAGTTACTTTCTTTCACATCATGTTTACATAAGCTATAGGAGGACCAATTACTTTCTTACACATCATGTTTACATGAGCTATAGGAGGACTCCTCCTATAGCTCATGTAAACATGATGTGTAAGAAAGAACTACCAGTTACTTTCTTTCACATCATGTTTACATGAGCTATAGGAGGACCAGTTACTTTCTTTCACATCATGTTTACATAAGCTATAGGAGGACCAGTTAGTTGTCCAATGTGCTAAGCCAGTAACCTCACTTTGAGGAAAATAGTTTATCACAATTGCAAGTCAAAGTGCAGAATAAGACAAAAACATATTTTTTTCTGTTATTTCAGTTAGTTATTTCTCCAGATTACATGATTCTTCTATAATTCTTAGAAGCCCAATACCAAATTTTTCTGTTTTAAATTCAATATAACCTGTATCTTATTATGTCTTCCTCTGTACCTAGTTTTTGTCTGCATTATGTTTAATAGTGAAAAAAGATGTATTTTAACTAACATTTTTGAATTATTAAGTTTGGAGTCGTCTTCAGTGGGTAGTGGAACATATATGGACTGAACATACATACTGAAGTGGTAGTGGTGTTACTTAACAGGTAAAATTGTAACTATACTATGATTTATTCATTTATTTTAGCAGATATTTTTCTATTGTTATCCAAAATTTAATAATTGTAGACTGAAAATTTTTGAGCTGTATTACTCACAGGAAATACATATATAATCTTGTTCAGTCAGAAACATTGTTTTGTTACACAAGTATCTACTCACTCCATGAGCTGTAACGATTCTTTAAATTTCTTGGTCTCTTGTTGAAATATTGACAAATTCTCCATCTGACGGGTCATTTCTGTATCGATAAATGATGGACAGATGGCACTAACGGTAACTCCTGACTTTGTATAATGCAGTTCAGTCTGTAAAGAAATATAGATTTTATTAATAATATTTCAACACGAATTAAGTTTTACCTGTACATACACCTAATGTTTTTTGTGTGTTATTTACTAACTTGTAAACATACATATATAACATTTAGTTATAATACATATCAACATGCATGTATACAAGCACATGTTTTGCTTGTAATGTTTAAAAATGTATGCATATATGTCCTTGTCTTTCTTGTAATATTTCAACATGAAGATATACATGTCCACGTGTTACTTGTAATAGATCAACATGCAGGTATACATGTCCTTGTCTTGTAATATTTCAACATGAAGATATACATGTCCACGTGTTACTTCTAATAGATCAACATGCAGGTATACATGTCCTTGTCTTGTAATATTTCAACATACATGTATACAAATTTTAAGTTTACTTGTAATATGCAGGTATGCATGTCTAGGTTTAACTGGTGGAATCAGAGACTTTCTTTATACTCACCCCCACACTCCGTGTGTAGCTGACAACGCCATGCTTACAGGCACAGTATATTGGTCCTAAGGGTACTGGAACTAGTCCTGAAATAAATTATACAATATCAGATCCTAAGAAATTACTGGCTAAATCTAAATAGGTCACTTCACATTCAGAAATTTAATAGTAAATACCAAAACATTATAAACAAAGATCCAATCAGAATTGGTTATTTGCACATCAGTAGTTTTTTATTTCATTCCACATCAAGATTATAGTTTCCTCTTTTCATTTTAATATAAAAAAAAGAAAAATATGTAGTTTTAATGTTCAGGTACAAAAGTGCAGAAAGTTAATGATTAATGTTTTGATATTTGCTGTCAAATAGTGAGCAGGTAAACCTTTCTATGGTAGCAGAAGTGGGTTGTAGCTGATAAGGCTGTGTATCTCTCTATGGCAATAGTTGTGGCTACTTAGTTTATGTTTCTTTATGGTAGGGGTTATTGTTACTAAAACTATGTTTCTCTATAATACCTGTGGTGGCTACTAAAGCTGTATGTCTGTATGCTAGTGGTGGCAGCTGCTAAGATTGTGTGTTCCATATGGTAGAGGTGGTGGCTTCCCAGGCTGTGTGTCTATATGCTAGTGGTTGCTAAGGTTGTATGTTCTCTATGGTAGAGGTGGTGGTGGCTTCCCAGGCTGTGTGTCTATATGCTAGTGGTTGCTAAGGTTGTATGTTCTCTATGGTAGAGGTGGTGGTAGCTACAAAAGCTGTGTGTTTATACCCCATTAGTAGTGGCTGCTAAGGTTATGTGTTTTTTATGGTAGAGATAGTGGTGGCTTCTCAGGCCATGTGTCTATATGCTAGTGGCAGTGGCTGGTTGTGTGTTTTATGTGGTAGAGGTGGTGATAGTTCTAACAGTGGTGGATATTTAGGGGGATTGAGGCATACACACACATACAAACTTTAATTTGTTGGAAATTATATGAATCCACGCCATTAAAATTTAGTACATCACTTTACATGTTTTATCATGAATCGAAGTTTCAAAATATATGTTGGCCCAGTCGTCCAGATCACGTGCATGTACATAACATAAACCATGGTACTGGTTCATAATGAGGATCGCTTATTTGTTCTTCTTTATTATTATTATTATTTAATATTGTTCCGCCAGCCTACAGCAAAAATGGCTGTTAGTATTGTAATAAAACCTGGGCAATCTTACTAAACGCATCATTGCACATTGTGTAGGATAGTTTTTAAATTTATCTGACTACCTAGCAAATAACAGTGGCTGTATAACCGTTGACATTCAATCGTTTTAATGTAGTCTGTGGTTTACATGGAGCCTCATAATCTACTGCATGCATACGTATATAGCTGCGTGCAGGCCGTGGATGTAATTTCATGTTTATATGGCAGCCATGACACATGTACCATAGGGATTATTAACTTATTCTTGCAACTGTATTGATGTCGCGTATCATTTGTTTATGTATATGGTTCCTGCCCTTCAGGACACGACGCTGCTCAGAGGATTACAGTTTTTTTGTTTTTTTTTTTACCACTGCATGATCGATTTTGGCCATTTTACATAAACGTTTAGGCTGTCCTCCACAATAGAATTTATTAAGCATTAGTTTAAAAGATAGCACCAAGCTCAGTTTCGAGCATCGGATTGGTAATCACGGTGATGGGTGATAGTAATTGTCAAATTATAGCCAACACTGCGTTATTGCGAACTTTATAGATACTGCATATAGAATAGCCATCCTTGAAGCTGCCTATAAGGAGTGGGAAGAATGGTGCAATCAGAAATTTTGTAGCCATATATTCTATATAGAAAATATTTAGTTTCAGATATAGTATGCAGCAACGACGGCCCACCAGGGTTGTCACAGTGGAAGAGGGTCGTAGCAGTGTCACGACTCAATTTCGTCAGAAATGGAGAGGGAGGAGGTATATTAATATAATCAATTCATAATTGCTAATTAACACGTTTCCGACCTTGTAGAGTGTGCAGAATGTCACTCTCAGAGGAAATCTGGCCAGCTGCAGCAAAACCGTCACCAGCCTTACTATGACCATCGGAGAGGAAGGGGTAAATATAACAACTATAAGAACAATTTAAAATGCTTATTTATATACATATCCTATAATATTATGACACATTGTCTTGTATTTGCATTGGATATGTATGTATGTGTGCATCTATACAACTTGGCCCCCAGTGGCACAGCGGTATGTCTGCGGACTTAAAATGCTAGAAACCTGGTTTCGATACCCGTGGTGGGCAGAGCACAGATAGCCCATCGTGTAGCTTTGTGCATAACTTCAAAC